TAATTTTAGTAATGCAAGTGGCTTGGCGAGAGCGTGATAGTTATTCACGGATTAATGCAGCATACAAGGCATTGGAAATCAACCCTGAATGTGCTCCAGCGTTAATATTATTGGCAGAGGAGCAATGCCAAACGATTGCTGATGTAGAACAGACGTTGAAGTAAGGAAAAGATATGCCTTGAAATTCTGGGTCCCAACTTTTTTTTTAAAAGATTGATTTTAGTCTATATTCTCACGGTATTTCCTCTGCTCATGGCAGTAGTTTTGCCGTGTTCCTTAAATTTGTGGAATGCAGACCATACTATGCATTGAAAAGGTTGAACCTGACATGCGACATCTACCATTAGTAGTTGTACGATCGTGCATTTGCTATGTTAAAATAACCTCCATGGTGCTGCTTCACATGGCAATGACTAATAGTATGCCTGAATTTTGTCTCATGTTATGTTTTGATAAATGACGGTGTCACTTCAAATGATTCTCGCAGCACTTGTTCAGTGACATAACGTGATGATTTTGTCTCGTTTGTGCTTACAGTAGCACACTGCTACTTCTATCATGTTCCAGACGAGCGTTGAAAATAACAGAGGCAAACTATCGAAAATCCCAGTCACAAGTGCATTATGATTTAGCTTCGGATCCAGTACATAGTAAGTTCATTGCCAATTAATTTCTTCTTCCTTATTATACTGTCGTTTTCTTTTCCTTCTTTTTTGTAAATGTGGTATCCATATTTGTTAATGGTAGATGTTATCCAACTGATGTTCGCAATGTGCAGGGGAAATCAAGCCTTACGAAAGATATAACGCTACACTTCAAGAAGAAGAATATTTCTAGGGCGTGATGTCAATTTGCTTGTTTTCGTACGCCGACGGCTGGCTATGTGTGCACGACGGCAAGGACGTTTGCGAGAAGCAGTCAAAATGATGCGAGATGTAAGCCATGGCGTGTTAGCATCTTTACGTTAGCACACGTACTTATTTTAACCCTTTTCCATCCTCTCTTCTGCTCTTAAATCCTAGATTTGTCTATAGGCTAAAAATTGGAGTTTAGACTTGTTGCCCACCGCAGTTTCTGGTTTCGGGAAGATGAACGATGAGTCGGAATTCGCGTACAAAAGATGTTTGATTTGGATTGCCATTTTCCTGTGTGTTATTTCAACGAATTATTATAGTTGATCAAGGAATTTCCGATGCTTAACGTAATGAACATTCATGAAAATCTGATTGAAGTGCTGCTGGAACAACAAGCTTACGCTGATGCTCAGGCCGTTCTAGCTCGATATGATGGTAACCTTTTATTTCTTTCAGTAATCACTAGGATCAGTTCTGGATCATAGTTTACCACCGAAATGGTATTTTAATACTGATTGATTGCGTACCTACTGATTGATTTATTGTCGATTATCTACATATCGTGCATTTAATACTTTTTATTAATAAATTGCATGACGTTTTGGCAAAAATCTCGCTTTTAGATATCAGCTTGCCGAAATCTGCCACCATATGTTTTACATCGGCCTTATTAAAAGTGAGGACTGTCGCTGATAAGTAAGTATCTCATTCTTCGCTCCAACAGTTTTGGTTTTCCGAGATTTGTTTTTGATAATGGAAGGTTTTTGCTACCATAATGGTATGCGTCTCCATCTATTTGCATAGCAGAGGGTTGAATATGGTATCAGTAATCAACTTAATTCAATTTTATTTGTCACCGTATGTAGAAATATAGAGATTTTGTGGCAAGTATTGATCCGTTTTGATTGGTTTTTTTTTTTTTTCTATTTTTCTATGGTCAGACTTCTAATTTAGACATGAGGAACGTCTCAATTAGTTGTGGTACTTCATATCGTTTAAGGTTCACGCCAGATTTCGTGTTGCGTCGTGGATTAAGTACTGCAGAATTGAATGCTGTTGATGCTATACATCGAGCAGTTGAATTTAATCCTCATGTTGCAAAGTATCTGTTAGAGCTGAAGCCATTGATATTACCACCAGAACATTTATTGAAGCGCGGAGATTCAGAAGCGATTGCTTATTCATTTTGGCATTTGCAGCATTGGAAGCGAATCGATGGTGCCCTTTCATTTTTGCAGTGTACTTGGGAAGGAAGTATGTTTTATTCTTACTGTTTTGATGAGATTTCATGATTTACATAAATTACAAAATATTAATGGATTACAAGAAAACGGAAATATATACATACATATTAGTAAATTGTCTTTCTCCTTCAGCATTTCGACTTATACCGAATCCTCTCGAAAAGGGACATCTTTTTTATCCTTATCCATCTTGCACCGAATCTGCTGATAGGGAACTTCTACCGTGTAAGTTTATTTCATCAGTTATTAGTTATTTTGGTGATGTTTTCTGCTCTTTCCTTTGTGCATCATGAATGTATAAAATTTGCTGCAGAACAACTACCCAGTTAAAATGAGTCTTCTAAATTTAATACGTTACAACTTTAGCATGGCACGAGGTGTCAGTGTATCCAAAGCGTGACTTGCCATTTTTCACTGTACTGACAGCTTTGCTTTTCTTCATCACTATCGTTTTGGCCATTGTTACCCATCAGTATCCAAAGGTAATATTTTGACGTTTTATTTTTATTAACAAATTGGAAGACAACTTAAAATCTAGTAAGTTTCGGGAGGATGCTTATCGGTGTCAAATATATACTTCTATGGGATCCGTTGCCGCTTGTTGCTGTGGCATATCATATGTCATTTACGCTAAGTTAACACTGTGCAGTCGAGCTCGAAATAGGCTTTTCTTGCGTAATTCTTTATTTCCCTCAACGACTTGGGTAAAATTTGATTTTATCTTTGATCTTCCTTTGGTAATCGTAGATTCTGATACCGATCTTACTGGCTTTTGTATTGTTTATTTATAGCATTCAGCAACCTTTTTGTTGCAGGAATTTATACAACCCTTGACTTCGATTGCAAATTTATTCCTCAGTTTTATTGACAATATTTATGGCCTTGTTCCGGATAATGTTATTAATCTTCTGGCATCAAAACCAGTCATTCCACCTTCCAGTGATTCTGTCAGTTGAACTAGTTTTGTGCTTTCATAATTTTTTTGAGAAAAAATAGATCGATATGAACATGAATTTTTGAAATGATATTTGCCATCTTCTAAAAAATAATTGTGTCGTGGCGAGAGTTTCTTGTAGTTTTGCACCTTTCGAGACATTTTAGATAGCAAACTATTTGAGAATTTGACTGGTTTCAATAAAAATCTATAAAATGGTTTGGTTGCTTTTATCTTTTTTTTTTTTACTTATTCGATAAAAACGGAGTAATTATGATCTATTATGGTGTATATTTATGAGTTGCTTTTAGCAATTTGGTAACATGATTTTACGGTTAGCGTCGTCTGTTATATATTTGAGATCTCACACATCTCGTTAGGGATTATTCATCCTCAAAATGGCTGGATTATAATCTTGTCATTATTATTGTCTTTGTCTTTATCGTAGCATGCTTAGTAAAATACGAGAAATGACATAATCTATTGCTTTGATTTTGATTTGCTCGCTCTTTCATCCGGTTTTCTCTTTTTTCTCGTTTCTCTTATTCATTTGTCGTAATTTACAAATTGTTTTTTTCTTATTCCTTTTTCCGTAGTTCATAAGAAATTTTCTGAATTTTGTTATGTTAAACAGTTTTTTTTTTGAAATGATCGATGGAATGATTATCGGTGAAATGATTACTATCTCATACGTATATATATATATATACATATATATGTATATATGTATATATGTATATATATATATACATATACATATATATATATATATATATATATATATATTATATATATATATATATATATATATATATATATATATATATATAT